GACATCAAGATACATATCGCAGAACTGCCTTTCCCGTGTTTGTGAAACCTATTATGTTCAAATAGAAATTAGGTTCACTTAGCACAATCAGTTCTTTCAAATCCATGCCACCTGGTATTTGTCAACTTCTTTTCTTCTAGATGTTTTATTAAACTGTTGTGGTGTTTGTTAGAGGATTTTCCTGGGAATTAAAGATGAGTTGCTTCATTTTATACTTCTTTTGATCTTTCTACTGCCTGTTTTTAAAGATGAGCATCACCCCTTTTTCAGATCTTCTGGAGTGTTGTGCTTCCCATGCGAGCTCTCAGAGACAACCCATCGTAGATGTCAGATACTTTCCTCTGGCTGCCTAGGCACTTTCAGTGAATTTTACCAGGCCCAGACAATTGAAAAAAACTCTAATTCTTTTAACTGCTGCTTTTTCACTTTAGGGTCAGAGCTAATCTTTGCTGTTATGGTGTTACCAGGAGTTAACTGTAGCTATTTAGTACAGCCGTAACCATGCTGGGTTTTTAATTGTTCATTTAATAGGTCTATTAGGTTTGTCCCTCTAAAGAGTCACAAAGTTACTAAAATAATTTGCCCTAGTCAAGCGTCATGTGCATTAACTGTCTTTAATTTGGTTTCAAGAAAAGACAAACCAGCAGAAGGTCTGACACTCAACCCTGCAGAAACAAGACGGTCCGGCAGACCTTGTGTCATCTTGAGGAGCAGCTCTGAAGAGCCATGCTCTGATGCCTCTGTATCGTTACATTAGCTCATCTATTTATTCATTTACCAGTTATATGTAGGGCACAGTAATCTGGCAGTGAACTTGAGGTGCTGGTTTCCATTGGGTATCATAACTGTATTTAAACGTTTATGTCACAAGAGTATTAAATCATTATTTTGCTTAATCTTTCCCTGATACCTTAAAATAACTCCCTACTACATCTTATTTTTTGAAAGTTCCTATTTTTATTTAGACAAAAATTAAAAAAACCTAGTAATTCAGGTTATTTTTTGGTATGACACTATCACAGGTGTTTGATTACACTGCTTCATGTCCTTCCCCAGGCTGTTTTTTAGTGCTTTTTCCAGCCCTTGGAGCTCCAGCAGTGCCAATCAGTGGCATCTCAGGTGTCTCCCTACTCCCCCACAATTCTAGTTCACAAAAATGTAGGGACTTTTTATTTCACTTTTTATATACATCTATCTATAGAACTAATTAGTGTGGTTATATCCAAACGTGAAAGTGTCCAATGGATCTTACTGTAGTCAAGTTACGAACCTGAGGATTTTTAGGTGCCTGTAGAGCTAGATGGCAATAGGCAAAGGGTTTGCAGGTTCTGGAGGGACTTAAACTGGGAGTGCTCTTGCAAGATCCCTCTTGCAAGTCTAACTTCATAAATCCCTCTGTGGATGACACAGTGGAAGAGAGTGAGCTAAAACAAATAAACATCCAACATTTCTAAAAATCCCACAGGTAGCTCTACATACATACTTTTGGGGTGTTCAGGGACAGAAAGTAGTGTGTTGGGGAGTTTTCCTATTGTTTCTGACAAGTTTAGGTTTTTGAATTAAGGTACTTCTTGCCAGTAGGAGGAGGAATAATTCAGAGGTGGCGGAAAGAATCAAATATTCTTTGTGCAAATGACTTTGGGTAACAGCAGCAGCAGGTTGAACTTATTTAAAGGCTTACATTATTGCAGGAAATCCTGGCAGATGAGGATTGATGGGGAGGCTGGGTGAAATTGTACTTATACAGAGTACAAGCAGTTTTGTCAAGAGTTTCTTCAGTTTATCGTGTGGATGAAACAACCACAGAGGTCCTATGGGAAGAATTAGAGGTACAGAATTTTCTTTCATCATAGATTCCTCACTTTCTCATTGACAAAGCAATCACAGCAGGACTAATTGGGCACTTCAGCCCACCACCAGGTAAATAGAAATCATTATTTTATACATAAACATTTGTTTTCCTTTCCTTCTCTCTCTTTCTCTTGAATATACACATGCACAAACACATTCTTGTGGAGGTGGCAGAATTTGCTCTTGGTATGGGGTTGTACAATCCCATGTACAAGGGATTGACAATCCAATAAGGCTACGACCTTATTGGCATCACGGAGACGTGGTGGGATGGCTCCTATGACTGGAGTGTTGGGATGGAAGGATACAGGCTCCTTAGGAAGGACAGGCAGGGGAGATGAGGAGGGGGTGTCAGCCTCTGTGTCGGTGACCAGCTGGAGTGCATGGAGCTCTGCCCAGGGATGGATGAGGAGCCGACCGAGAGCTTATGGGTCAGGATTAAAGGGAAGGCAGGGACAGGTGACATTATAGTGGGGGTCTGCTACAGGCCACCTGACTTAAGACAGCAGGAGCAGCCTCACGCTGACAAGCCCTGGTCCTCATGGGGGACTTCAACCACCCCGATATCTGTTGGAGGGACAACACGGCAGGGCATAAGCAATCCGGGAGGTTCCTGGAATGTGTCAATGATAACTTCCTTCTCCAAGTGGTAGAGGAGCCAACGAGGAGAGGTGCTATGCTGGAAAATGGAAAAGGGGGGATATTCCTGTGGATGCGAAATGTGTTAGGTCTAGCTCTCCTCCTAAATGGTAATAGTTCAAATAGAAGATAAAGGCTTATCGCAGAATCACAGCATGGTTTGGGTTGGAAGGAACTTTCAAAGATCATCTAGTCCAACCCCCCTGCCATGGGCAGGGACATCTTTCACTAGATCAGGTTGCTCAAAGCCCCATCCAACCTGACCCTGAGTGTTTCCAGGGGTGGGGCATCCACAACTATGTTGATAAAGGAATCACAGTTTGAGGAGGTCTGGCTCTTATTACATGGACAGGAGGATTATATTACTGTAATGACCTCTTCTGGGCATGGTAGTTATGAATCTGTTTCCAGTAGGACACTCTACACTTGGAAGAGAGCATTTCATTGTAGAGGGGAGAGTTTTACGCATATTGAGGAACATATGCATAACCAGCTCTGCTTTTGAAAGACAGGCAGTGTGTTGAAAATGTGACACAAAGGGATGGCTGTATGACAGCAGCCGCCTCCTTTAAAGCAGTTCACATAGTTTCGTTGAAGCTTATCCACATCTGGGTACTTTGTTGCATGAAGTCACTGCTTTCATAGATACCACTTTTTTTGTGGATAATGCCTAAGAATGTCCAAAATTATAGTGCAAAGTGAACTACCAAGGAAGTCCAAGGAATTCAGGCTTGTGTCTTGCGTTAGTTTCCGTGGATGATGTCTGTTGTACATCTTCTGGTGTGCCTCGGTACCTGCAGCCATTGCATGTATTGACTTTTGTGATCGCCTTCCCTTGGTCTGGAAAACAGTATTTCTATCCATCTTGCTAGGAGCTAGATACTATTGTGGTGTTAATGGCAGAATCACAGAACTACCCAAAAAGGGATTGTGATGCCTATAAATGCAGCCCTGGCAGATGAGGCTACAGATGGACAGGATGCAGAGAGGTGTATTCTGTCCTGGTGCTTGTCAGTCGCAGCCCATGGCTGCTAGAAAGTACACACAAAAATGTGAGTTGCCAACCCAGTCCACGCAGCAGCACTGTGAGCCCATCGCCTTCCATCCAGAAACACCCACCCCCTCCCCTCCCCTGGTATGTTCGGCAGGGTCCCAGCGGGGCGACATGGGGTGCAGCCTGAGCCTCGGCAGGCAACCCCTTCCCTGCAGCAAGGGGCAGGAGGCGGCAGGCTCGGCGCAGCGTGGTGCGGGACGCGTGTGCCGGTGAGGCGTGTGCCTGCCTGCAGCGGCGGTACCGCGCATGTTGGGGCACCTCATACCGCAGTGTGCAAACCCAGCGTGCTCTGTGCCAGCGCCTGTCTACAGCCGTCTCCTCCCTCCTGCGAGCACGCCTGCCTGCGCGCCCGCCACTGTACCTGCTCCTTGGTAGCGTGTTTCTGTGCAGTGCAGTGGTGCGCGGGTCTTTGTTCCCCGCAGCTGCACGCTGGGCAGACCCCATTGCTGGCTGCATGTGCCCAGGTCTGGGGGCTGGCCCGTGCCATTGCTCCCTCTCTGCCTCTCCCGGTTTTGGCTCGGTGTGCAAAGCTCCTTCCCCGTGCTGCCGAGAAGGACCGAGGTCCCTGATTAATTCCACTCTGATGTCAGACATGCGGCTCTGCTGGGAGGGATTTGCAGGGCTGCATTTAAGCTCCCGTTTGCTGAGAGAATCCCTCTCCCGTCTCCCCTCCCCGTGCGCCCCCCGCCCCTCCCAGCGTGCATAGAGGAGGTTTGTTGGAAGGGTCGCTGGCGGCCGGGGTCTGCACGGAGCTGCCCGTCTGTTCCTCTCTGCACCGCTGGATTTTCCCCGTTCTTCTTGTCTGGCCACAGCGGAGGGCAGGGAGAGCAGCTTTGTTAAACTAGGACAATGCAATGCATCCCCCCTCTGCTAATGACAGACCATTACTTAGCAACGCAGGGGGGGATTTTAAGAGAAGATCAGAGCGCCGGGATGAGGATATAAACTCTGCTGTTCTCCCTCCCAGGGAACTTACCAAAGAGGCACCTCTCCTTTTCTCAAGCGTCTAATTTTTTCATACAAGAGGCAACTGGAAAGTCTCAGAGAGCTGCTTCCCTGATGGATGGATGGCTGCCTCTCCCTGCACCTCCTCTGCTCAGGCGCTCCACTCTTCAGTTATATGCTAAGGGCATCATTTAAAGGGAAGCCCAAAGCGGGATCAGTAAGCTCCCTGCATGCGTATGCAGGTGACTGAGAAGGGGACCGGTGGGCAGAAGGGTGATCCAGGCAGCCGGGGCTTTCCTCCACCTACACGTTGAGGGAAAGTAGCTTTCGTCTTTTTGTTCTGACTTTGGGCGAGGGAGGGAGGGAAGCAGATTGTGCCCAACTCCTTGCTGAGATGAAACAGTTGATGAGAAGAGGTCTCCTTGTCACAGGCACAAAGGCCACCTCCGCCTGGCAGCATGGTGCTGAAATCTAACCCTAGCATCATTCTCTTGTGCTCTTTCCTGCCCAGTGACTACATCATTGAGGAGAAGACGGCCGTGCTGCAGAAGAGGGAGCATGAGGGATTCGGGTTTGTGTTGCGAGGGGCCAAAGGTAAGGGCTGCTTCTTTTGCTCGGTCCTGGGGCTGGGAGGGAAAGCTCCTTCTCCTCACTTTGGCTGGTGCTCAGGACCCCACTTCCCTGGCTGCACCAAGCAGCCCGCGAGCCCCTGTGCGTCGGGGTCGTCTTAGGGGACTCTTCTCCTTCTCTGACAGTTAGGCAGTGTGAGTGCAGCTTATCTCTGGTTACATGCATCGTACAGAAAATGCCATTCATGGCAAATGTGCATCTCTCGCACGTTCTGGGGTGTTTCTCTGGTATAGATGCTGGTATTCGTAGCTTTGCATTTGTAGGAGTTTTCACTTCTGCCTATTTAGTGGGTGTATAAAGTGCATGTGCTCTGTTTCAGGTACAGATGTAAGCCCCGTGGGGCAGGGCCTGTGTCCTCCGTGGCTTTTTTTTTTTTTTTTTTTGTTTGAAGTTTTTTTTTTAATGCTTGAAGTATTTCACTGTACTTTGGTTGTGTAGAGTTGGGGATCCTTCTCCTGGGAGCCCTGGCTGTGTTGGGGTTCAGCCCCAGCATGAGGGCAAACCAGTAGATGTCTGTCCTGCAGCTGCCACCATACCTTCAACCCTGTGCTGCCAGACAGCCTCTGCTCGTGCCTGGGGCACGCGTCCCCTGCGCAGCCCTGGAGCACCTGAGCTCGTGCAGCCGGTACCTTGGACCGGGTTGTTACTGTGGCTACTCTTGCCAGAAACCAATCTTTTTGCTACAAAAAAAGAGAGTCCCTTGGGGACTGGTAATGAAAGTGCTCATATTCATATAGGAAATAGGCTTCAGCCCCCCCTCCCTGTGCTCGGGAGGCAGGTCTATCTCCGGCTGGAGGGTCCTCTCTCCAGGACTGAAGGCTGGGGAGAGGCGAAGGGTCTCAGAAATGCAGCTGCTGAAAGCAGAGGCACAGCAGTGCATGCTTCCATCCCTTCCTTGTATGTAGGGTGCAAGATGCAGGAGGGAAAGCTTAAACCCGTGGCTGCCAGCTCGTTTGGTAGTGCTGTTCCATTCCTGGACCTCAGTGTGGCTGAAGATCATTGTGATTTGGGCTTTAATCTTGGGTGTGATTTTCTGTGGGGATTTCTGAATTGTCTTTGTTCTGTCCGTATCGCGAAAGGGCTCTGTGTGCTGGTGGGTGTGTTTGCGTTCCTGTCAGAATATGGTTGCTGTCTCTTCCTCCCTTCTCTCTCCCCTTCCCTATGTATGTGACATACGTGTCTGTCTGTGTGCTGCTCACATCAGTCTGTGTAACGTGAAGTGAAACTTCAGGGCTCAAAATGGCATCCATTTTTTTGCCAGATCAGACTTGCAGCTATTGTGTTAGGAAAAATGGGATAAATTTTGTCCTGTCCCCTTTTTTCTTTCTTTTTTCTTGTTTGCCCTCCTAACATTTGTAGGCTCTGTATTTTCCTTTACCTGCTGAGGCTGAAAGAGAGGACTTGGAGCTGATTAAACAGTGAGCATGAGGCTGTGTGGGACTTGGGTCTGGCTTACGGATTCACAGCCTGGCATTGCTGCAGGGGGCACTGAGCAGCACGTGGCTGCAGAGGGTCGTGGCTTGGAAGCCCTTGCAGGGTGGGCATGGTCTGTCATGCTGCCGTCTGGGACAGGGGTGCTGGCGAGTCTGCTGATACCCCTTGGGGAACAGCATCCTCTTTGACTGAGAGGTGAATGTGGTGGCTCTGAGTCACCCCTGTATTTCCCAGCCACTCAGCCTGGTGCTTCATGCTGCCATGGGATTTAAGCTGGAAGGAGCACTGAGACTCTCTGTCTTGGCCCCACCGCTCATGCTTCATTTAGATACTCTGTGCGAAACAATTCAGACCTCGTGGTGTGAACCAGAGAAGGGGTCTGAAAATGGGAGGGACCAGAGCATCAGCAAAGTCCCTGCAGAGGGAGGGAGCTGGTTATTAAGTGAGGCTCAGCTGGATGCTCCTCAAAGGAAACTGCACTTCGTGCTGCAGAGGATGGTGAAAATCTTGCATGGCTTCTACCAGTCTTGCTGGGGGTTGATTCCTTCCCAAGCCCAAATTTGCCCCTCCGTGTGAGCTGCCCCATCAGCTGCACCCCAGGCAGAGAACGCTGTCCACCACCCCGGAGAGCCAGTCCTTCCCAGCCCATCCCGTCTCCACCTCTGTCCAGTGTTGGGAGGAGGTGATGTCCTAGTCAAACCAACTGAGCGTTTGGATAAAGGTTATTTTATCCTGGTCCCTGCAGGAGAGAGCTGCAGCTTTCGGACATGGGACTTGCCTGCAGCCATTGCCTTGGAGACTCATTTGGAGCAAATGGGAAGGGGTATAACAGCCCCTTCACTCAGCACTATGATGGAAAGTGATGAGCAGGTGGATTCACTTCTTCATTTCTTGGCCCAGAGAGGCCATCCCTACCTTTCATACACAAATGATAGACCTGTACTCAAAATGCTGAAAGGTGATATTTCTTGGCTTGTAATATCCTGAACTCAACCAGTCTTCTGTGCCTGGACTAGAGCAACCTCCCTCTTCCTGGCTAACCTGACCATAGATCAGGCACTATCTATTTAGTAATATGATTCATAAAATATTCATACATACTTCCCTGGGGCCATCCCTGTAAACAGTCGTTGTTACAGCTGACACAGTGACTGCACCTCACATGGTCTCAGCAAATCCCTGCTACCAGTTCCCTGGGCAGAGGAATATTGTTCCTGGGCCAGTTAATGCTCATTGGCATCTGGTTATGGTGGGTTCTGTGGAAGCGGTAGAGGGACATGCAGTCCCTGACTTGGGAATTTACTCTCTAAGAAAGGAGTAGATAATATGAATAGCAAGGATATTGCCAATAATACAAATGATGTGTTGAAAAAAGAAAAGGAGATGGCTCTAAGTCCTTGCTTCAGGGCGCAAGCTTTCTTTTGTCTACTTAGTCTGGAGAGAAGCCGCCATTTGGGGCAGGTTATTCAAGGAGTTACCTGAGATGTTTGCTTCCTGTGATTTGTGTATCTCCTGAAGCAGCTGATCCCGTACACTGTTGGGGAGACGATGCTGTGCTGATCCACTGTGGGGCTCGCTTTGCTCCTGCTTCTTTCCAAAGTGTTGTCAATTTTTTATTCCACCCACCCACCCCCCAGTTCTCCAGACAAGCGAGCACTTCACTTGCTTTACCACGTGCACCAGCCTTGATGCAGAACGCAGACCTGCTTTCCAGGTTTCCGCCCAGCTCGCCACACCTCCCAGCTCTTTCTGCTCCCTGGAGCAAATGTCCTTGTCACTCTGCCTGCCCCAGCGCCATGGCCTCCCCACAGCTCCAGGCCCTCCTGGTGTTTTCTGCCCGCCACGGTCTCCCTGGGCCCTCCTGCTCTCCTCTGCCTGCCATGGCCTCCCTGCCAGCCCTGGGCCCTCCTGCTCTCCTCTGCCCGCCACATCCTTGGGTAGTTAAGATACTTCTATTGGTATTTCTTTGGAATATTGTTTCGGTTTTGTCTAAAGTTAATAAGCAATTTAAGAATATCATCCAGAGATCTGCCCCAAGGCTGGATAGTTATGAGTGGCAGGGTGTGTGGGACAAGATGGGCAAGTACCTAGGCCAATGGGCACCCCCAGTGTTTTGGAACTTCACCCCTGAGCAAGTGCAGAATCCTGAAAAGTTAGTAGAATATTTGGAATGGGCACCCCCAGTGTTTTGGAACTTCACCCCTAAGCAAGTGCAGAATCCTGAAAAGTTAATAGAACATTTGGACAAAGTATGCTGTCACCCTGGCAGCTCCAGAGAGATGCAGATCATTGCAACGTGCTGAGGCCTGGCCCATGCCTACCGAGCCCTGTTCAACACTATTCAGTACCCTCAAAGGGAAGAGAAGGAGATGGCTCTAAGTCCTCTGCCCCTCAGTACCCCGCCTGTGTCCAGTGTCGGTCCTTGCATTTGAGCTGGACCGTCAAGGAGCGCTTGTAAAACCAGCAGGTCACAGCTTGTGACCAAAGTGCCAATCCATGGGACTCGCTGATGGGGAGGGTCAGTCTGTACCCCAGCCCCGTCCCTCCCGGCTGGGCTGCAGCAGGGCCCCAGGGGAGCCATTGCTGTCCCCAGCCCCGCGGTTGCTCCGGAGCACTCCCCGGGAGTGTCTTGTTATGTTCAGCATCGTGGGAAAATTGGGCACTGTGACTGCACAGCTTCCAGTTCTGCGCCTGGAAGCCCATGCAGCCATCGCCAACGCCCATTTGCCTGCTCCTGGCCACGGGGTGAGCTCATGCACGGCAGGCCGGGTTCCTCCTCCAACGGTGCACGCGCACTGTTCACCAGGGACTCGGTCCCACGGTTGAGACCGAGTTCTGGCCGCACGGGCTCTGCGGGGCAAAGCGCAGAGAGCTCAGGGCTCGGGTTAGGGAGGATCTCTGCGTGGATGTTATCTGCCTGCTTCACAAACTCCCACTTCTTTTTGCTGCGTTTTCTCCCCAAGAAGGTTAAAGTTTGATGTTCAGCATCAGATGTTTGTGTTTGCATCTCTGTGTAAAGACCAGCCAGAGCAACTGGTATTGCAGTTACTGAGACAAATCTCCTTGGGTGAATTCAGTGATCCAACCACTCAAGCGCAGAACTTGCCTGGATCTGTAGCAATCAGTGGATCGTTTGAGGAAGATTTAGTTTTGTTTCCTGTCCAGCACTTGGTGTGAAGACCTCAGGCTCAGAAGCCTCTGCAAGCTGAGTTTTGGTGCTGTGAAGTGCCTGGTGCTGGGTCTTGTTGACCTGACGGGGGTCTCTGACAGCCATAGCTCCTGCCCTGCACAGCCCTGGGGGCATGAGGAGGGCTATGGTGAGTGTAGTACGGTCAAAGCTTGAGGATCTTGCCATTGGCCTGGGGCAGAGGAGGGGTTGTCCTAAAACCCTGCAGCAAGTTTTGGGATGCAATGCTGGCATCATAAAGTTTCATGGAACTGGAAGAGCTTACTGATGGCTTTCAGAACTTGGCTCTTGTGCAGAGGAGTGCTGTGACGCTTTGTGACCCTCAGGATGGACAGAAATTGGG